TGGGAGTGGGACTGGAACCCCAATCTGAGGGGGAAACTTTCACCATGGGTTGAACTGGAAGGGACGGGAGAGAGCGAGCTAGGAAAGGGGTGAGAGACGGGAGTGGGACTCAGAGAACAGGTTCCTGCTCCAATTCTTACAGCCTTCCTTGGAAGAGGCTGCCCCAGTGTGGGGATCTCTGCTCACCGGGGGGCTCCGTGCAATGAGCCAGGTGGGTTCTCAGCACTGTCAGTGTCACTAGCAGAGCCCCAGCCCCCAGGGCTGCTCCAAAGGGAAGGGGACAGGGAGACTCACCCAGGCCTAGAACTTCTCTGCCCAGCTCTGAGTACCAGCCCCCGGGACTCTGCTCATCACCCCAGGGGGCACCTCCAGCCAAGGGGCCAGGCAGCATCGGGCTCAGTGCCCCCTTCCCCGAGTGTAGTGGGGGGGGGGATGCAGGGTCCCAGCAGCCCAGCTGGCCCAGGGTCAGGCAGGGACAGGGCAGGATGTGAAGGGAAGCAGGGGAGACGCCAGGCGGGTTAGGTTAATTTAACCCTTTTGCTGCTGTCTCTGCCTGATCCACTCGGCCCCTCGAGAGCCACCGTACAGGCGAGGGGCACAGACCCCTGGGCAGAGGGGGGCCCCAGCAGATGGTGCAAGGATGCTGCCCAGTGGACAGTCCCGGGAATGAAGGTGCTGCCCCTGTCCGGGAAAGGTTGGCTCCTGCCCTAGACGCAGAAGGGGCTTCCCCCCTTTCGGACTCCTAGATCCCCGGCGGGAAGGGACCATTGTGACCGTCTAGTCTGACCCTGTTCAGAACTGGGGCAGGCCCGGCTGGGCTGGGGGCCGATGGAGGCTGGAAGCCCGAAGTCTGCCCCCCCAAAACACCCCCAGGCACCAGCACAGACCCCGCACCACAAACGGGGGATTAGCCGCTGGGCCAAAGGGGCCTGTGCACAATTGGGGGATTCCAAAAAAAGGGTTCCCGGGCCGCGACCCAGCTCCCCGCAGGCGGAAGGGGTGGGGAGGGGCCTCTGGCAGCACCACGGGCTCGCGGCACTGAACAGCCCAGCCGGGGGCAAGGGCGGGTGCCGGGCTGGTCACAGCCGCAGCGACTCGCCTGGGCCCCGGGCGGTGGTTAGTTCCCAGGGGAGCTGTGGGGACCCCCCCCCGGGCAGAACACGCTCACACACAGACACACACGGACCAGCCCGCAGGCCACGGGCCCCACAGACCCTGCGGGGGGGCGGGTAT